GTAATATATGAAAATAAATAATAAACAAAACTGTCATACATCTATATAATAAACAAAAATGAAACTACATCTTTAAACATCCATGTCAGTTTTTGCTTTTGAACTAAGACTATCAATCATCCCTTTTTTAGCTACTGGTAAATAACAAAATAATCTTTAAATTCTAGATTTATTTTGGACCAAAGTAGAAACAATAATAAAATAAAATAAAAAAATATTTTGGAGAAGAGTACTTTTGAAATATCTATGTAAACCCTGTCCTGATACCTGTCTGGTTTCAACAACAACATGTGATCCAGTCATGTGATTTAAGCTCCATCTTTCTGTGGTTAATTCTCTGAGACTCTGTTACAAATTATGTCAAAAGTAGAGACTTCAAACTATACACCAGTTTTTAAAGACTGTTCCAMTTYAAGAATAATAGTCATAATTTCTCCTTACCTGAGAAAAAGTCTGCATTATGATCCCTGCTGCTGTAGGCTATCTGGTCTGTCTCCTCCCTGACCTTGTTCTTTGWAACTGTGGTAATAAAGATTTATTTTAAATATGTGGAAAGCAGCCAGCATGACTTCTGCACAGAAATGAAAGACGACTGGGTTTATCKAGCATTAAYWAACTAGCTTGGCAAGGGATGTAACAGGTAACAACAACTAATCATGTTAACTAGCTAAACATTTAATGTGTAACACATCATTTAGCTAACATTATCTGCCTCCAACAGCATGACTCAACTTACATGGTTTGTTTGGTAAAAACTGTGAAGTTTTAGTTTCTCTTTACTCCGCGAGGCTCTGCTCATCACAGCAGCTCCTATCAGTCATCTCACCTGCAGGAGTGCACGCTTATGGTGCGTTCAAAGACGGCTCAGAAAAACGCATTACCATATGTTAAATATGGATAAAACAGCTGTTACGGCTGAGAAACAGTGTTGCCAGATGGGAAATGTTGAATTATCGTATCAGCAGCTCAAAATTATCGTATTTTGAGAAAAATTATCGTACACACCCAAGTTACATTCTAGAGAGGCTCAAATTTATAAATACATCCTGCTCAGCTCACAAGAACTGCACATTCTTTTGTTTATAAAAAAGTTAAAAAGCACTGTTGGGTGTCTGTTTTTTTTTTTTTACAAAAGCATTATTGTAAACAAGAACAAAACATGGAGTCTGGGGAAATGCTGCATATAAAAAGAAATGTTAGATAAAATGACTAGAATAAAATGTAAATCATAGGCAAAGTTAAAATGAAATCAGGAAAAGAACAAATCATTGTAGTTCATTGTACTTTTGATTAGTCAAGAAATAAATTGAGTGCATACTGAGCAAATTTAATCTGCAAGTCTCCAAAATCTGTTTTTTTTTTCTTTTAAAAATAGCTTCTGGATGACAACTGGATGTTTATTAAATGTAAATGTTGCTTATAGCCCTCACCTTCTCAGTACCACCTTTTCTTTTTGATTTTACAGTTATTATTTCTTTCACATAAGTACTATTATATTTATC